TATTATTGGGCTCAGAAGTAAGCTAATAATAAGTGAGGCGTTTTCACCACTGATTTCTTCGCTCACAGAAATTTTTTCGGGACATTTGCGCTTATCATCTAGAATAGTTTAAGCGAATCTTTTTCAAAAAAACAATAATAATAATCGTTCAGCTGTAGCATCCTTTCGGTGCCTAGCTGCCATGCCACACGAAGGAGACACGAGGGCTGGGATACTGCCAGGTCGCCCAAGCCTAGACAGGGGAAGTCGAGTGGCAGAGGTCGGGTTCGAACCACGGACCCTTCGGTTAGTAAATTCGCGCTCCAACCACTTGAGCCATCTCGACCCCCGGAGCTTCCAGAGCTTCTTGACTCAGTCATCCCAACTTTCTGGATACACCAAGCTTCTCGACGTGCACAGCTGCTTTCTTCACCTGTCTGGTAGTTCGCTGAGTCATATTGTGCTGTGGACCAGAAAGATTACGTGCCCGGGCTTCCAGAAATTTTAGGGTGTTACTCCGGATCCAGTGTTTGCATCCATTTCGTTGACCCATTCTGCAATTGGTGCACTCAGACCCCTGCCTCCCAAGAGGAGTCAACATATGACATCTTGTTTGAAAGGGACTTCAGTAGGTAGTTCTGAAGGACTATGTTCATATCAGGGTCCGAGAGCCCTGATATGCGAGATATACATATCTTCCGCGTGTATAGAAGTCGCAACGAGAAGCAGCAACAAACAAGTACCTGATCTAAATCCACGTAGTTGTTCCAGAAAGAGCGACAGTCATTAATTGAACGATGCCATCTATAGCTAATGGCGATGTAGTCTCGCATGTGGGGCCAATCGACTTTGGTTGTTTCGGAAGTTAGTACTGCATTGAGGCAGTCTGTGTTCAAGCTGATAACTACGGCAGGCGTTCGCCGTTGTCCGTGCATCTCAATTCCAGTCCCAAACAACCGTCCCATTGATCCTCAGCAGCGCTAAGTATATCTTCTTGTGCATTTGTATCTCCAACAACCACAACACTATCTTAACCCTTAGCTCGCCTCGACAACGAGCTCAACGCGTCATGAAAACTGCCTTTGATTGTATTAGAGCTACAATCTGTTGGGGCCTGAGCAGATATGATGAAGAGGTGAAAACTGCCTTTGTTGGGGCCTGAGCAGATATGATGAAGAGACAGCGATTCTATGAGATATTCCCACAGACATCGCCAAACGAACCGCGGAGATGTGACCATCAGCAGGGAACCACTCAACCAGAGACCTTTGATTTTGGTGACGCAGAACAGTACCAGCCACATCAGAACCAGTCGCAGCGAATTTCTGGTCACTAGATGTGCGCAACCAGATGCGGACGGAAACTGGTGGGGAGGTCAGTTCAAGATCCGTGTTTGTATCTTGTGTCATCATTTCAGGAAGGCGAGGTACATCAGGAGAAAGCGAATCCAGCGAATATGCGCCAGTAGTCTGCCGTCCAGCTTGTTTCGGAGTGCAAATGTTAAATACTGCCACGCGAACTGAGCGACGTAGTTTGAAGAATGATTTCGAAGTGCTTGTAATCGTTGCGGCCGAGTTAATTGTAGCTGATGCAGCTAGCGGCGATGTTCGACGAACGGATGTGTCAGTCCTTGAAAATACGTCTTTTGAGGTGTCGGTGGAAACGAAATGAGTGGAGGTAAAATAGCAAATATGTGAAGTAGAAGGGAGGGGCGTTAGTAGAATTCTGTTCTCACTTACTCGCCTTGCAGCACGCAGCACGACTCGGCTGATTGCACTACGCGACGGCTGGGACATGAGACTATTTATAAGTGTGCAGTCCATGGTTGCACGTGAGCTGGGATACTATCAGGGTCTCAACACTTACCAAGAGGACGATCAGAATTCTCAGTCAAAGTCTGTCTCAAAAACCTAACCGCAAGGTAGCGATGGATGGTATAAGACCACCAGAGTAGCTCACATTTTTAAGGAGCAAGTCGCCGCACGCGTTTAGATCCCAACCTGGAGGACCAGGTTGCTGTTGTTCAGATATCTACCCATTAATCAAGCTAGTACGAAAGGCTCAGTAAGCGTCACACGTACGGTATCCAGTATAGCTCAGTGGGCACAAGCCGTCACACCGTGCTAAGGTCCAGTCTTGTCGTGACGGATCGCATCAAGTTACTTTTGAACACAGCAAGAGTTTTGGTCGACTTGTCGTTAAAACCTTGACTTACCTCAGTATACGTGAAATTCGGTGGCTGAGCAAGGTTAAAAACGCCAAGATAAAAGTCCGCATATAGGTGATTAGTGTTTCCTTGATCACTTATTCTGAAAAGGCCATTTCGGACCCAAGGTTCCGGGAGCTGAAATGGTGGGACACCTGTCGGCTTTGTTACTGTAACGTCCACCGCAGTTGCATACGATTTGGCCCTTATAGGTTGGTCTCCTTTTGTTGGTGAAAACGTGGTTGAAAACATGCGGATCTGCGCGTTGGATGTACGCTCTAGTGCCTTCTTTGAGGGGTAGGTGTATGCAGCTCAGCTACTTAGATTCAGTTTCACCAATAATGGGTCTAAATCCTATAGTGTGTCTGACGCGACGGATGGGAGACTTCTGTTTTGTCTCATATCCTTCGTGGAGCGAGATGGCTCAGCGGTTAGAGCGCGAATTTACTGACCGAAAGGTCTGTGGTTCGAATCCGACCTCCGCCTCTCGACTTCCCCTGTCTAGGTTTAGGCAACCTGGCAGTATCCCAGCCCTCATGCCTCCTTTGGGTGGCATGGCGGTTAGGCACCGAAAGGGTGTTACAGCTGAGCGATTTTTTTCATATCCTTCGTGAGTAGTTCCAGTCCCTCGGTGGAACCCCACGTGCCATCGCAAACAGAATTTCTACCACGTTCCTTCCGTAATACAACGGGGTGAAACATGTATTGACCTGTCCATATAGGTTTTCTTTAGACAGTATGTTTGACAGATACCTCAAACCTGTGCATCACAAAGATTCCCTGAAATGGTAGAGTTTCCGACATCTTCCAAATGTATCACAGCAAAATTTGAATGAACACGTTCTACATTCCTGTTGCCACAGTAATCTATGTAGCATCGATAGTAGTTCTCACTTAAGATACACTTCGTGGACTGACTTTCCGTTTTATCGGGAGGGGGGAGGGGACGAGATGGCTCGGTAGGTAGAGCGCAAATTTACTGATCGAAATTTTCGTGGTTCGAACCGGACCTCTGCATCTCGATTTCCCTGTGTCGGCTGGGGCAATCTGGCAGTATCCCAGCCCTCGTGTTTCTTTCGGGTGGTACAGAAGCTAGGCCCCGAAAGGGCATTACAACTGAATGATTATTTATTATTATTATTATAAACACCTATTACCGGTTCTAGTGGGCTTTCCACCAGTGTCTTACAATTGATAAGGAGAGTTCGAGAAATCGAAACCAGCATTCTTAATCCGCAACAGTAGTTCTTCGAGAAACTTTGTCGGAACAAAAAAGGAAAATTTTCTGACTGAACTATGGCACATAGAAGTCGGTGGCTTTGTGTGGAGAGAAGTTGGTAAAAAAGCGATTGCACATACACAGAACACAGGTGTTTGTCCTTGAGCCATCGGATTAACTTCACTTGGGCTTTTACCACCATTCTTTGCCACTGAAACTCATGTATCCTAAGGTTTGTCGGGTTTGTTGCAGTAATTCCATAAAAACCGCTGTGTTCAAAAGCCACCTGTTGGTGGCGCAGCACCGACCAACACAGAGCGCTGCGCTTCAGGACAGCGCACTGATGATGTCATCCCGATTGGCGATGGAACATTTGCAAAAAAATTGCCAAACTCAGCGAACAACTCGACCACCCGCACTACAGCCAAGCTACGAAAGAAGGGTCGTCACGTCGAACCGATGTAACATGGAAATCCGGAAACGATGGACCTCCACTCAGAATAGATAATTTCACCTTCAGTTTGCTTTGAGCATTGGATGAAACCATTCGGAACAGTTCTTAACTGATTTTAACATGACAGAATAAGACCCCAGTGTGATTAGGAGAAGAGGGTTATGTTGGCAACTTGATGAGAACAGTTGTGTCCGCGAAAACAGTAAACGACGATTAAAGGTCTGAATAAGTCAACACTAAAGGTGAAGTGATATGAACTCACTGGAGCCATACCATCGCACCATCAGCTGTTGTCGTCTACTTGGAAATTGATACCTGTCAATTTAGTCTGTGAATGAAATGATGGATGTCATTTTCGTCCTTTGTAGCAACTCGAAAGAACAGTGATCGTTCGCCGTCGCAGTTCAACTAGTTAATTAAGCTAAGAAATGACCGAATGACGAATGCCAGTTTGTTGCCTTGTATACATTGTCATACTACCGGCACAAGGGAAAGACTTTTGTTGGTTTGTTAGTATGTTTGAGAATCGTAATGGAGACTTCGTTCTGTAAGTGAAGTCAATCTTTGCTGAAAACCCGAGAAAACCTAAGAAGCCCGCATCTCACATATCTATTTATCTATCAGCTATGAACCGTATGCCATCGGGACAATGGTTCCATCTGCTACACTTTCGATCACATGAAAGTAGGAGACGCTGACATATTTGTTTAGTTCGGGAACTGAGTACCTACACATTGAAGGCGATAACTTTGATGCACACGCGCGATAGACTGCGCTATTGGGTCATTTCTGCTAGCGTCATTAACCATTAGTGAGTAAAGTCCCGAAGTTACAATCCAGGGAAACAGCAGTTGTCGACCTGGCTAAGTTTACTGGTTAGTTTTCATACCCCGTTGCCAGGTTGTACACTGTCTACCACTCGGCCGCTTCCACCCAACACAGGACTGGGCCTTCAGCACTCTGCGAGGCGGACACTCTTCTGGCATTCGGAGTACATGTTCTACCTAGCCTTACCTGTGAAGCGTGAGAAATTCATCTTTCGCGGGAGAGTTTCTTCTTCCTAAGAACATCTGGCGTACCTTAACATTACTAATCCGATGTTCCCACCAGACCCGAACAATACTTCGGAGACACCGATGATCAAACACTGACATCTTTCGTATGTCTTTTGTGCATAGAGGCAACGTCTCTTATCGACGAAGTAATACGGATCGCACCGCCACAGTGTAAACTCTGCCCTTGATAGACAAACTCACGTCACCTCGGCGCCATGAATGTTGGAGTTTGGCGAAATCTGACTTGGTCTTCCCGATTCTAGAAGTAAGCGATTTGTCTCCACGTCGATTGGTTTATCTGCAAGCCATTAGTCTGGATTTGATCCCGCCCAGTATTGTAACAGCACATTACAAGTGCAAAGCGCATACCACACAGTGCGGCGGAATTATTTTGTTTATTTAACATAGTTTGCATTTTAACCGGTCTGAACCAGGGACAGCAACATCGTTCGCATGCTCAATTGGTGTGAGAGAACGTCCCGGGATCCACATCGCACGGGTTCGGTACTCCCTGGAGTTTTTTTAGGTGCATACTGCGGATGAAACACCTGTAAACTGCTGAGTTCTTCAGCATAGATCGGTTTCGCTTACAGAACGGAGCGAGTTTAGTCAGTTCCATTTGGGGTCTAATTGAAGAGGAGTCATTAGACTGACCGGCTCTATGGAATGTCCATTTTTTGGTTATATGTGTCTGCTCCGCCCAAGTTTTCCACCGATTTTTCCCGTTCCAGCTTAATCGAGTTAATTTTTGGAATACGAAATTTACCAGTGATGGAGATGCTGACGAACTTCTTCCGGAAGGTTTGCCACACAGCGCTTATCGCGCCGTTTCGTGGTGTCGGCACTATCTCTCACCGCAGCTTTAAGCTAACAAAAGCCTACGATCCACAGGTTGGTGTCTGTTGTCAATGTTTATGTAGTATGGGATTGTGTACTTGTCACCACATTTCACGAAGCCGTTTTTCCCTTTACACTGCGCTCAGGTATCTGCAAGGCACATCAGCACGTAGGTGTAATTCTGAGAGCACCATGAGAATTTCGAGAAACTTTACCTTGACAGTGTCACACATGCATCCGACCAACCCTGACAGTTTTTCTCGACTTTGGAGAAGCCTTATAATCTGCGGACTGATTGGTTCGTCTAAGTACACTTAACCATAGCTGTTACCCTCAAAGTAGGTAAACAGTATTGTTTCAGGCAGGATTTTACAATACTTTGTGTCTTTGTGATTTCAGAGCAAGGAGCTTTAGTTTGGTGACAAACCTGACACATCTTGACATCCGCATAGACCATAATGCACTATAAGAGACAAGGTCAATGTGCGAGCCAAGTGCGCAGGATTGTTTATAACCTTGAAAAACTAACTGGAGTCAGAGGGCCGCGTATATATGGCAACTGCCAATACACGGTCGCGGAATGCGATCCCTCCGGTGCGAGGACCCCAAATGTTTTCAGACATTTAAACACTGGCGTCTCCGTAGCATGGCAAGTCAGTTGACTTCACAATGTATGCAGCAAACGGTTGTGCCAGGTGATAAGTGAAACAGAGTGGGAGTCGTTAAAGCAGCAGATAAAACGTATTAGGGCGCACACCAGGCCATCGTCCGCAGAGGAAAGTTGTTTTGCATTGCTTAGCAAAAAGCTCGCGAGGAAAAGGCCATGACATGACAACATGAAATGAGGGCGGCCGCAGTCAAACAATGCTGTTTATTTTCCTGCCTTGAGCTACTATGACGCAGCATTTAGTCAAACCCAGTAGAGTGCATGGTGTCACTGTCTAGCAGTCTGCCTATTGAGCGCTGGGTTTAAGGTGAGGGAGGTTCATGGGAGACGCTAGAACGATCCGGCAACGGGCCATTTGCTTAGATGAATTTATTTCGACAATGTCCAAATATATTGGGGCGAGATGGACCAAGTGGTTGGAGCGAGAATTTGCTGGCCGGAAGGTCCGTGGTTCGAACCCGACCTCTGCCTCTCGACTTCCCCTGTCTAGGCTTGGGCAACCTGGTAGTATCCCAGCCCCCGTGCTTCCCTTGGATGGCATGACAGCTAGGCACTTACAGAGTACTACAGCTGAACGTTTTCTAACTCTTCATCATGTTCCCTAGTGATAAAGGACTTCTTTGCGTTAAGGTATTACCCTTCCGTGTTCTCTCCGCTCTTCATTAAGAGAGTATGCTCACAAGGAGACTGCACCTTAACGCTGTTTGAAGACGTGTACCTATTTGGCCCATTGAGCTATACTGCGAAGTCTCACTTTGACATCTACGGACTTTCTCATGGTCAATGAACAACACACCTGAGGGATACAGTTCCCTGGACCTCCAGATTGGGGTTGTGAATTGCACGGCTACTTATTCTCCAAAAACTTGTCCCATCATTGTAGTCTCCCCGTTCCCATCCCCGGATGAGTGAACCGAACGCTTTGGTTGACAGCTCTAAGTACCCTTCTTTCGATGCGCCATGACAACAGCCAAGCTTGCGTACAATTGAACTTCACAACTAAAAATAATCACTCCACATGGGTCGTCATTAGCCGGATCGCGCTGCTTGTTCATACAGCAGGGCGGACAGGCAAAAAATTGTTACTAATGACGCATCACCTCTTACACTTTCGCGTATTCCATTTTCTACTCCGCCCCATTGTGACTAATCAGTATCTAGGTCCCAGCACTAGCACTGACGTTTACTTTGAACCACCCTTAACCACAACTTTGCGCATCAGTCTTCGGCAACGACCGTGAGCACCTTGAAATCAACTTTCGAAACCCGAAAGTCGGTCCGCCCAGCTGCCCGCAATGTCCGCGCTCTGGAGAAAGCGGGATAACTGGCTGTTCGTACGCTGTGTACCTTCAAGTGGTGTATGTTGTCTGTCAGAAACAATACTCCATGGTGTGACAACTGTAACCAAATTGAATGCCCGTCGATTTCGTTTCGCTTCTCAGCCGCGCACCTGGTGATGTGGTGGCTGCGGTAGGTACTATGTCAAGCCGTAATATTGAAGTGTTTTTACTTGGCTTATACCCGTTGATGGTGACCTTTGCGCGATTCGCTTGACTTCGATGAAAGGGTAGTTGAGGTTCACTCGTGCCCCGCTTTATTTGTTTATTCCTGGAAGTCGTAAATCTGTCAGACGTATTCTGGATGTTCTTTTATGACGGGCCTAAAGCTCAAATATTTCGGTCGCTATTGGAGTAAACGCGCAGGCACGTAGGTAAGTCTTTCTGAAGCTTGAATGGTCATTTTAGACACGATACGCACGGACGGACAGTGTTGGCAAAACTAATAGCAGCTGTAACGACCTCCGGAAGGGCGGAAATTTTTTGGCTACATGGTGTCCACTATCGAGCCAGTCCCAAACCCAAATAGTCCACACTTCCATCAGTCACCAATGGCGAGGATTCATTAACATCTGGTCCCCCGGAATAGCTGTGTGGACTCCATTCATTCACATGTCCGTAACCGACCCTCGCTACGCTCTTCTAGTTTGCGCAAAACGCGCATACCTTAACTGAGAAGCTCATGTGTCCAGCAATTAAACACTAACCAGAACGAACTCATCCAACGCGTTTGCTGATCAGATATGGGATACACATAATGTCGAAGCTTCGTACGCTATAGCTCAGTCACCCTCTTCCAATCACTGCATCCCGCATAGGACCGGTCGCAACCACACTCCAACTTGGCTCATCGTCCGACGCCAGGTAGGACTGTCCGTGCTGAATAAGGTTAGTGGACGCTTTGATAAAAGCTCTCACTNTATATATATATACCAGTGTCTGCAATCCATGGATCCATATCCGATTTTAACGGTTCGAGTGTGGGCCTTCGGAAATCAAGTGAAGGGGCAAATTTCACCCAAATACAACCCTCTGAAGTTTGGCGGAATACCGGAATAGTGTTTCAGCATGCTGCAACACAAACCCCATAGTGATTAACACAACCCCCATGGTGATTAGGTTTGTAATCCTTGACAAAACTTTCAGACTGGTGACTGTCGTCGTGAAACGATGTGATAACCGCCGCGAACCCTAAACTCTTCCGCTTCAATTTCCCAGTTTCGTACCCTACAAGGACTTTTCTCAATACAGTGCGTTTCCAGTGTCAGATGAACAACACACTGTACAGTACGGCATTGTGCACCAACCGTAAGCAGCCATGGGTTAACTTGCGTGTTCCCAGATACATTGCAGTCCACATCAGTCAAACAATAGCTCGTCTGGCTTTTGTCTTCATAAACAGTCTATTAAATGGCACCAATGTACTTTTATCCTGCAAACTGATAACAAAATTTCGATATATCGGTGAGTTCTGGGCTGATTCCATTACGCATCCATCTGCTAGTTTTCGACTTTTGGCGATTGCATTCAAGGGGCGTGCAGAACTGTTATCAATCTCGTCCTAAGGTGAAATATCACAGGGCCACAAACCGAAAATTACGTGTCAACACCGTCTAGGGGGCCTTCAGGGCACTACGTCCAACTTCGTCGCATGTTGACATGCAAAGCTACACTCGAGGCCTCAGCGCTGTCAACAATCCGTTCCAAGTTTTTGGAACTGCCACATCAGTATTCTGACAGTCGCTGTGGTACGTGATTTTGACGGCACACGACTAAGAGCCACCTTGACGTGGTGGTCGGGTTCGAATTGCTATGCGCGCGCAGAGTTGAACTTCATCCCTCAGACAAGAGAGGGCAGTTCTAACGCACGTAACTGGTACTATATTGCTCCGGGGCTAAAGTCGTACTATCCTCAACGGTGGAAATATGAAACAGTGAAGTGACCGACGTCATGCCGATGAAGTCATCAATGCTATCTTCAGTACAGGTTGGGAATGGCCGGCCTTAAAAACCGTACGATAGGACCGACGGCGCACTATTCAATTTGGCCGAGAGTCCAGTCTCCTGAAATGTACGTTCTGTGCCCAGTATTGTCAAAAATCAAACGATCTTGTCTCGCTTCCAGCACAGTCGAGGTTGAATGCCCTGTTGCTGGAAGCTGTTTACCGTATTCGGGACCAAGCGACAGTCCCCGTTGGAGACGCTATGTGGCAGCGAATAGTAATCAAGAGCCATTACATAGGTGACTTGTCCCACTCTAATGAGACCAGCTTTCCAGATTTATTCACCATAAGCCCATTAGACAGCACTATTTGCCCCTGGTTGCCCAACTCAACACGACACAATTACCCTCAGGCATGGCTCAACGCTGAAAATGATTACTCACCTCTTTAGGAACACTTTTCTGCATACTAACCAAAGCTGACCGTTCCTTATCGGTCATTTCGAATACCAGTTTTGTTTGTTACGGACGATGAACTGGATCGATTGCACCTAACTATTTTTGCCCCCAGCATTCACCGCCTTTCAGCCGGATGGTCCTGCTGATGCCGATGGTCGTTGCGACCAACGAGAGCTCGGATGTCTTCCTTCTATATCGAAAGTCCTATCCTCTCGAACAGACCCGGCCATTAGTGATCTATCCATTTTCAGCAAAGTGCGATTTAGTTGGTGCTGAGCTAGCAGATCGAAGTGAGCGTACCTGAGACAGACAATTCACTAACTCGTCCCGTCCACGTCCGCTCTTGCCCTCGAGTGATACAACCTTCTTCCATGGGGAAGGTTGGTGCAAGTGTTTAGAAGTTGACACCTCTAGTGGGACGTGATAAGCCAAATTAAATGTTGGCTACTATTTACTTAATCAAATTCATTAATTGAATGCACAAGTATGTAACCCCTCCTGAACTCCTTGGTCAAACTTCCCGTACTTTTCCTACCTTAGATCCATCCCGGCGTTGGCCCGAATTTAGCGCGTAACAATGTGTTACCCAAGGAATACGAACTCATGATGCAGAAAGTGTTGCCCAGGCTAGGATCAAAACTTATGGGAAAGAAACGACTGACTACCATCCTTTTGTCTCGGCGTGAGAAGAAGTTTTCTGAAGCTGCCCGTCTGTCGACGCCAGAGGGCAGGATCATCATGCACCGACGACTCATTCGAGGAAGAAATACATTGTGGAAACATGACTGGTAATTTGCATCGAATTCGCCTATGTACATACGCTCTAGTAGTGTTAATATATATTCACATCTTCCGCACTTATCATCTTACCCAAATTTCTTGGAGGAACAGTGTGCTGCACTTGAAGGAATTAAAGATTATACAGTACTTTCTCCAATGATTCTCCCAAACGACCATGTGGCTGTACACAGCTACCACAGTCGGGCTCTGATCCGACCGATTTCGCTCAACCTTTTTTGGAATCATAACAAAGGGGGTACTGCGTTTATGCTTTGGTGATACTGTATTGAAATCTATTACGGCAAAAACTCCGAAACAAGAACGGAACTGGCGAGTGGTTCACAGCTTACAGGGTCGTTGACTGTAAAAGGCATGGACAAAAGAGACCGAAAAAAACAGTGGCCTAGGCCTAAAAGGTGGTGCGGTCGTAATGTGTTTGGATGTGTGTGGTAGAGCGACACTACGCTGGTTAAGTGACGCGACAACAGATGGTTAAATGCGTAAAGAACTGTCAAAGATAAGGCACAATCAGCATCCTGAATTCATATAAGCTTCATTGATGCACGGAAATATCAGCTCTTGGGCCTCGCCGAATCTTTGCCGGTTAGGTGACAACGCAACTATCACACAGGATTAGCGGCCACAGACGTCCAACTGTCAGGTGCTCCAAAATGCGGAACATGACCTAGTTGAAAATTTGCTGTTCTATGCTCAACTTTCGTCTCGCGAAAGCTCAAAATTCAATAATTACCCAAGCCCACTGCCACTGAGAACAGCTCAGAAACGAGACAGACATTCATTAGCCCATGAAAGTATGAATTATTTATGCGAGCCGTCAAAGTCAAAGAAAATCCGGTACACAGCTTCAACTAGAACCAGGGTCCCATACAAATACCAAACAGCTTTACGTGCGTCCAAATACCAATACCATGTTCAAAGTCAGAAGCAAGGAAATCGAGAAGAACAAATCGATGCATTGGCCAGTTAAGAAAGACGAGATTCCAGGCTGGAAAAGTCCTTCTTGAGCGTTTCCATATTTTGATCCACTTTAAGCTGAACCTTTTTTGGACAAAAACAGTTATGTACCGGACAACCTACCTCTGTTAACAGTTTCGAATAGGCATCCAGCTGTTCGCTGACCGATTTTTGTCCGTTTTCAATGGACGACAGTAGGTTACTGAATTCAGAAGCTGAAATAATAAAACAAACGTACTAAATGAAGGCATCACTGATTCACGAGAAATGGAAGAACAGCGTCTTAGAGAAATTCGGCCAGTTCCATATACAGATGTCAGTTATCCGGAGCAGCTTTTAGCTACACCTTTTCCTAGCTTTAAACCAGTAATAAAAGCATAACATTATTGAGTAGCTGTCGAGTGTCACAAAAGAGTGCCTATTGTTAGACAGGATAGTAGCAGCAGCAGCAGCAGCAGTGCACCAACCCACCAAAAGACAAGTAGTTTCGGCCATAGGATTTGTTCAGTACCTCTATTCGCATCCCATTCATCTGCACTGTGGTACTAAATTGCAAGGCACCATGGCTACCGCAGTAGGTAAACACGAAAGAAAACTTGATTCAAAAGTGCTGGTCCAGACGTCATTCCGGTGGTCAGAAACGATAACGTTGCCTCAGAACCTAAACTGTTCAACGCACTTCCTTTTCGGAGCGTTCAGCAAGCTTAGCTTGCGCGCGAATAATTCCACACACGATCGACAAGCGGACGATAAATCTCTACATCTCCATCGTATCACTGCACTGATATTCATTCCTAATGTTATCACCCTTCGGCGCAAATACTCGCAGAAGAAGGAACGTTTCGGAAGTGTTCCAACTACGCGTCATTCAGAGGCAATCAATAGAAGACCAGGTTATGTATACACCAGACGCCGCAGTAGGGACAACAAAAGTTTGGCAATATCGACTCGTACTCCGCAATAGGGGCCACGTACTTTCGGATATCAGGGAAGATTTAACTTTGTTAATCACCAGTGTGCATTACGATTGATAAGTTTGTTGAACGTGCAACTGAACATGACCACAAGACCTGGATTTGTTATGGTGAGGCACAAGATGTAGTGTGGAGTAAGCATTAAACTGCTGAGTTAGTTAAGATGGTCAACATTAAGAACAAATCATAAGATTTGTGTGTTTACTCGCTCGCTAGACATCCAGTTAGCGTAACTGAGCCATAAGAAATTAGTGAAGTGATGGAAGCTCCAGCGGAAACTGATAGAAGTCAGGGTGCAAACTTGGTTCTTCAATATAGGTGTGAGGAACACGTATTTCTCAGCTAGAGGGAGCAGATCGCCAGCAACTTGGTTCAAGTAACCTGCCGTCAGCCATTGCAAAAACGGTGCTCGATGAGCTGTCCTTGTTTGTTATACTAATCGAATACGGTTGAGTGGTCTTTTCGCTGATGGAAGAACGTGTGGCAAGCTCCAACTGACAAAGCCTGAAAAGATAAGCTTGAGGACGAGATGATGTTCATTTTAAAGTATGACTGAAGAACATCTACTTCCTCAAGTTGGGTGAGGTGATGAGCAGCCTAACTGCCCCAGAAAATTATATCAGCACTAGTTTACAAACTTGAAGGACCAGTAACTTTTCAGTAGCTGAGTAAATTTATGCTATCTCACGATAGGAAATTTGAGCACCCGCAAATCGCACTGACAAACGTTTTTTGCCTATGCAAAGCGCGACAGGTGCTTCCTTTCGACGTCATTCTTTTCGTAAACCAGATGTGGAGAAGTATTAGGGATGCAGCAATTCAGAGGGAGTTCATTCGGTTTGAAATTCCAGCTGCACACTCAGTTAGTACGCCAATGAGGTAAAGATCGATCCTCTAGCTCGCTGGTCGTTTTTGAAACAATGAAGGTCTCAAATCGAGCAACGCCAGTCCTGGTATACCAAACCCATGTTTGACATTGTCATGATGAAACAATGTGGCGACAGTGAAGCAGCCACCTTCCTGAAGAACACCACCAAATGTAGTCTTACAGCACTACACGAATCAGTCAGCTCTTGAGAGAACATCCGCAGTTTGTGCTCGAGAAGCACTCTAGTTTATTGCACTTGTGAAGCAATTACAGCATTAACGTCGGAAGATAGCCAAAGGTAACCGCTTTCCCCCAAAAACGCACTCGATGACCCAAACGGCCACTCAGTCGTTGTCTAAGACTGGCAACTTGAGCAATCTCTTCCCCAAGAGAGGCCGCTTTGATCGGGTCCAACGGGTGTTCCTTATTAGGAGAACCATCGTAAATGCCAGCTGACGTTCCATAGACGACGGAATTATTCACTGGTTTCTTGGTTGAAAAAAACATACTACGTAGAGTTCTGTAAAGCACGTCGGAGCTATCGTAATATAACTGTTTGCGTCCTGGAAACTTTGCTTATTAGCAAACACATCTGGTTGCGGGGAAATGAAAATACCCTTGATACATTGTTCAGGGACTTACCTTCCTCGTGTAGTTCTTTCAACTCCGATAAGCGCTCTACTATCATGGGGAGACTGTCCGCCACGTCATTCCACTTTTTGACCAACTCATACAGTTCGGCAACCTGTGGTTGGAAAAAACAGGTGTGTCAGGATGGTAGGTTGCCCATACTGGTGCTGCTGTGTGTAACGATGAGAAGAACAGTAAAGCCATCCTAATGCGCTAGTCACGACAACGCGCACTACCTTGTTTTGTGTGTCAGCATCTGACAGTGTTTCACGCTTCTCAGTGATTGACTGCAATTTCGTGTGAAGAGACGATAAACGGGTTTCGATCATATCTAGGTGTCCAGGATGAAGCAGTGCAGTGCGTGCCGAAAGGCGCGACGCAGTTTCCAATAGACTGCGTTGTGCAGTGTCTGCTGTGAGTGCAGACAACTTAGTCGGGTCCGCCTGACCAATCAACGCCTCCAATCTCTGAATACGACGATCCATATCGGCCACCTGAAACGGTTGAACGAAGGTTGAATGATGTCAGTGAGGTTAAAAACCTCGTCGCAATACACCCGAACAAACAAGGGTCCGTGAACGAATACATCACTTCTCTGGACAAGAGCAGGATACACTAAGACAGTAGGATCAGAGACGCACGGAAGATATGGGAAAACATTCGGTGTTTTACTGCCCGGCCTAGTAGGAACATACGATTGGCAGTTCTGAAGTACACCAAGACGCGCTATTCACGTTAGTTAGGGTGAGCAATTCCTATGTTAGAAGGATGAACAGTCTACAAAGAGGCAATGGAGTATTTTAAGCTTTTGGAGAGCTCGCTGTACATTCCCACACGCAGAGAAGTATGTGAATATAGGAGTCGGATTATTTTAACACATTTCGGGGACATACCCGTTGGGTAAGTGCGGTTAACAGTAACGACCGATCGACAGAATCAAACGCACCCCTGAAGTCGAGAGATACCACGATTGTGGGTTCTCTGTACATTTGGTGTTCCTTTAACATCTGACGGAGTGTGAAGATGTGATCGACGAAGTCTCTAACCTCTCGAAATCCTGCTTGATGCTTACGGGTCAAGGATTCGTTTGTCGCCAGTAAAGCCACAAGCCTTGTTACAACGGGAGTCACACTGGCGCCTCTATGGTTACCTCAGCATCTCGACTGATCCTGTGTGGGCTTGAGCAACTTGACTGTATACCAGCCGTCGTGCCTCCTTCCGTTGGCATGGCAGATGGGTACCGAAACGGTGCTAAGCTGAACGACTTTGTTACAACAGGAGGCAAGCTAACACCTCCATTGTTCGAATCAAACCTCTGTATCTCTACTGCACCTGTTGAGGTTAGGGCAAATTGGCAGTAGCTTGGCTCTTGTGCTTTCTTCGGGTGGCATAGCAGCTATTCAACGCATTGAACTATGGTCGTTGGCTTGTTCGCTGAGCTGGGCAATTTGGTTGCAAACGTTTCATCACCAATCGAGGTGACATCATCAGTGCGTAGTTGTGCTACGCACAACTATATATTAATTCACGGGGTACCCACTCATTTTGCTTCTATGACCCTCGATTTTTGTGCATGTTCATCCAACCGAACTATAGTTAACCGCGCCCGATAAAACCTACGGGGTAAAATATAGATGCAAGAGGCTCAGCGGGAATTCTCGCTGAGCTGCCGAGATGCGGCAAGCTCAATTTCTAATCGCTGTCTTACCAAGTATGTCAATTCATATCGACACACTGTTTTATTCAAGCCGCTGAGGGACGCTCGAAGTGAACCTACTTAGTAAAATTATCAAATTAATGCTATTTGCAGCCCCCTTGGTGTGGCTGAATTAGCACAACAGCCAAGACGCTAGTCAAGTCAAGAGTCACTTATCCCCATTTTAAACCAGCCTAAGCCTAGTCGCACAACAAGGGAGATAGCACGAACTAAACTCGGTGAATCGAATATACTCAGAGGGGGAGCCCCTGTCAGTGCTGTGCAGACCCCTGTTCCAGAAGCTACCCTGAATGGATAACTGAACAGCTAACCTAATACCATAGGTACAACTCTAAGAAGCCTGAAATTTTAAGACTCAATCAGACAAGAACTGAAATCAAGTAAAACAACCCAAGGGAACCCAAGATGGTGTGTTTTGGATGAGCTAGTTCTATGCTAGGCTCACTGGGGTCTCAGCAAACGAGGAATGGACAAGACGGTGCCGACATCCACCTGAATACCCTTGACAATAAATTCCTGAAAAAGGCTGCTGCTCCTGTATTTGTTAGTTTTCACCCTAAACATCCACCTGTTTCTCGTGCTGGGTGTACTAATGTCATAAAACAAATGTATCCACGCACTCCATCACGTTCCACAAGCCAAGAACCAAGTCACCATCATGCAGACACTTCACATTCCAAAAGGACTGTTATCGGCCACATTTCTCAGTCAGACTTCCAGGTGGCGTTGTTTACACATGCCTGTCGATAGCTGTTACAGACCAGTCTTCTGAATCGGGTGTTTTCAGCTCCAAAACCCGAAAAACTAAACTACGAGTTTCTGAGGGGAAATGTCGATTTTTTACGATTACTGAAGCAAGTAGTGTATCCCCTTAAAGGATTATTTGAGCGACTTTGTTTTGTCAATGGAAAACCTCCCAAACGGCTTCAAGCGTTTTACATTAAATAGTGGGTGGACGCGTGCGATGGCTTGTTCTCATCGATGACCTTTCGAAAAGCGCGAATGCTGTCATTTAGACACTAAGAATTGGTCTGGACACAGAAGTTGGATTTTGTCACAGAAGACCTCAGGGGTATGTTATTTAACGGACACATAAGGGCAACCGGATGGTTGGTTAAAAACTCACTCGCTCCAAGTCTGTTTGCTTGGTGACATCCTGTCGATCGTAAATCTCGTAGACAATGCGCGTTGAATCCTCCGGCTTCCGAACATCAGTTCTATCGGGTTTGAATGCGTCCAGTTGTGCTAAGACTCTTCTACAAACGGAGGGTATAAGCTCATGAGTGAGACCAAATTTGAACAAATTCATCTGGAATCCGAATATCGATCAACAGATGCTATATTGGAGTACTGGTCAGGCTGCAAACCGTAACACCGTCCCCCAAGATTCAACTATCTCGGAAACGTGGGAAGTGAGCAAAAAGAAAGAGGTAAGCAAATCCCCATACTTCAAATCACCGTATTGAGAAGTACTCAAAAGAATTAAATTGCCCCATATTGCTTTTGCAATATGGGTGCAAAAGCGGGAAGGTTCTACCTGGACGACCGGCATGCCCAAGTTTACGAAGGTAGGTATTCTTCCTTTCTCCAAAAAAGACACGTTAGGGAAAGTAAGCTACTTTGATTGCTGTCTGCCACTAACCCAAGACCTCTTCCAAGGTAAACACACATACGATGGGCCAACACAATGGAGGAGCGAATTATTGTGCCGAAATGATGAGAGCTCATATTTAACCACAGTTGAGGGCACGATCCTTCAAAATAATCCGCCGTGGCACGTTCTACGGGTACGCTGTGTCACTGATGATTTCTCACCAACAGACAGAAGTGGAGGGGAAATCACCCAACGTGAAAGATCCACTGAGTAGGAGCGTGCCTTAAAAATGAACTCTGCAGAACTTCGCGCGACTCATATGAAGTGGGTTTGAGTGCTTTCCAATGAACAACAGTAAGACAAGTTGACAGCTGATCCCGTGTACCGTAGCAGCTAGCTGTGAATTAACATTAGGTTTTTCAGTCCAAAAAAGACTTTCGGAAAATCAGAAACCATTCCGCACACTCATTATTTAGTCAGTTGCCAGGGTCTAACGGGATTTTTGTTAAGCACAACCTTTGCGGCCGGAAACCGTTTCGTCTATCGGCTACAAGAACGCTTTCTCCCGGTATCATCATCGTCGATGAAGCATCAGTGTTGACACGGATGCTTTACTGCTATAGAGACACGTCTACCTAGTTATAATTAGAGAATTAAAGTGAAAAGATAGAACAACAAATGAGCGAGGAACCTGACGCTATCTTATCGCAGGAGCTCGAGAGAGCTCTGTGACTATGGTGCGAACTTACTGATCCGGAAGTCCGTGGTTCGAACCCCGGCATCTCGACTGTCCCAGACTAGCTTGGGCAACCTGGCAGTGTCTCAGCCCTAGCATGGCAGCTAGACACCTGAAGGGTCTTACAGATAGACTATTATTATTATTATTATTATTATTATTATTATTATTAGCCTGTCACAAGCATTCTGAGACACTCATACCTCAGGACACTCCCGTAGCTTGGAAACAAACCGATTGCACAAACGCCACGAACACCGATTAGCCGATCCAAAAAGACGACCCTGCCGCGCTGTAGCGGTATGCAGGCTTACGTAGCCCACTGAGCTATGGTGAAGGGTTTCGCTTTGACACCTGCAAAGTTTCCCATACCAGGTTGGTCAGTGGTCAGGTCTGACGAATAAAGACTCATGATCCTCCAGGCACGGCGACTTTTTCCCTAAAACACTTGCACTACTGCCTTGTGGTCAGGCCTCAGAGCTAAAGCCTTCGGTTCAGGACCTAAATCATTATCCTCTCCAAGTGTGTCCCAGCCCGCGCACAGCTAGGTCACAACTAAAAATACTGTCACGCTACGTTGGTCCTCACATAGTGTCACCAGCCAGGGTGCCTTGCATGTTGCACACAGCGTGATGGGTAAGCGAAAACATGCTACTACTGACACCCTAACCCACTCCAATTCGAATACTCTCTCCGCCAATCCCAGCACTGGGACTGACCGCTCTGTTCGCCATTCATCACGCTCAGTTGCAGCTTCTGTATGCCCGACTTCGAACCCGGAACGCCGGTCTACTTAGCTGCCTTTATAGTCACACACTGAAGCGGATAGAATAAGTGGCTCTTGTTCGTATGCTGGATTCCCTTTATATCGGTGCATGTTGTCTGTGAGAAACAAGGATATAGGACGCCAGCACTGTAACTGGAGTGACTGCCCGCTCGGTCTCTTCCAGGTTCCAGCTGCGCACCTCTATTGATGCAGAGGCCGCCGCGGCTGGATATGCCGTAGTGAGTATTGCATTGAGCAACGAATCAGAAGCGCCTCTAGTTGATTTGGTAGATGTTGATTGTCGCTTCTGTACGGCTTGTATGTCTGGGAAATAATGTCGAGAGGTCCATTGCCCCCTTGGTTGCTTGCTTGTGCCCTGACAGACCGTAGCTTTGAATCTGTTTAGGGCAGTTTCTCTGGCGCTCTAAGTGTTCGTTTACAACGGGCTGGTGATGTGAACGCCCAAGTAGTTAGGCTAGGCGCTGATGAGGCCCAAATGGGTGGCCGGCGGGAACGGAAATCATCTGCTTCAGATATGTGTGGATCGCATAACAACGGGAACCGCTTGACGTAGTGTCCACACGGGCCCCGAATCCAAATCGACAACATCACCGTCGGTTAGCGGTGGTGAGGGTCTATACTGTCTAGTGCCCCTTCTGGAGCATAAATGTGGACTCCGACCAAGCACTTGTGTGCTGCTGCTTTTCATTTGACCATTCAGGTCTACGCGGAATGCGCAGACCTCGATTAGCCATTGTGGATCCAGAAGTCAAACAAAACTTTCAGAATCGGCTCCTCGAAGAACCACCGGACGGTCCTATGTCAGATATGAACGACCGTTGGGAACAGATATCGACAGCTCTGCTCAGTGAGCTACTCGCAACCGTAAAATATGGTAACAATCGTTCAGTTGCATCAGCCCTTCGATGGCCAATTGCAACGATACTCGAGGGAAGGATGAGGGCTGAGATACTGCCAGGACACCTACGCCCAGACAACAGTACTCAAGGTATCGGGGTTGTTTTCGGGCCTCAACAGCTGAGCCAACTCGAGCTCAGTGGTTGAAGAATCTGACCCCATCTTTACACAGCAAGTTAAACGCTGATACCTGAGAAGTTTCTGGAGAGATTTTGAGCGGCGGTAGGTAAGCATCCGATTTGTATTAGTCTGAATCCTGAGCCAAATCCACTCTGCCGCTCGCAATTAGGAGCTCTTAAACAGCAGAGTCCTTACTATAAGCTGGTATACGCCATCTCTGAGACCCATTGATGACTTTTCGACGCCACAGATGATCCAAGTTAGAAACATGTTTGAGGCCATTGAAATCTATGCAATGACTTCATCAGACAAACTTTCGAAAGAGCTGGCACAACCATTAAGTAAAATGCTACGAGCATATGTAGACTGTACTTCGTAGATGCAAGGCGCACGCCGAGTAAAATGTCTACAAAGACAGAGCTCGTACTTCACCTTCGTATTGAAAGATGACGACGTCATATGCATACTCCGGACCAACAAGGTTCTCACCAGCAACGATTCAAACACCGGAGGTTTGAAGACCTTCCAGCATTCGCCTAAATATTTCACCGAAGGAGTTGAACAAGGATAGACGGGCAAACACCACTTCTTGTAGGGAAGCTTCTAGAGAGCTCATCATACACTCATATACCCAGAGATACGTGATTACACGGAAAGGACTAGGTTCACAAAACTCCTGAGGCGTACCTTATTGAGAAAATGTGGGCAACAGCAGAGACCGATCGGCAGAATCAAACGCACCCTTGAAGTCAAGGAGCACCAAGCCTGCGGGTCATTTGTGCGTATGAAGTTGTTCCAAAACCTGACGGGCTGTAAAGACGTGGTTGACGCGGCATCTACCCAGTTGGAATGCCGCTTGATGCTCACGGGCGAAGGTTTCGCGTGTTGTGGCGACAATGACGCTTCATTTACACGCAACACAGTCCATTTAGTTGTATTTAAGGTTGAAAAAGAAAGTAGTAGACAGGTATAGATCTGGCGCTAGCCATATTGCAATCACTCCAAGGCAGCTACGTATCCGAGCGCAGTTGGACTATCTGGTTGGAAAATGACAGCATGAACGTCACCGATATCGCTTAGCTAGCACTTCTTAGTGGCTCCAGTCAACCATATGAAGAGATAGGGGGACTTCCTAACAGAAGACGTATCGCGCCACACAACTCCAAACACACGTCATTATCTGTCCACACCGGAGCCACTCCGAAATGGGTAAAGGAGGAACCCTGGTCTCAAGAGATGGTAGTTTGGTGTGTGCAGTACATGCCCGAAACAAAGCAGCTAGTAGCAAGTTTTTTTTCATTATTTCTGCCTAACGGAACACGTTTTCTGATACTCGTTACGAATTCCATCCCACAGTAAGATATCGGGGGTCAGAAGTCCGAAGGCACTTCATGTCATCTAGTTACATAGGCCATGCACCGCAACCATATTACAATCCAGACAGTACTGTAGCTGGGCACCTGATCCTTAAGACCCAGTGCCCTTCTGACGCTAGTGATGCAAATTAGTAGACTTAATTTGTGCTTCCGAGATTCATGTACTAATTTCATCAGACAGAATTTCATCAAGGCCAACACAACTAACGAAGTATTTGAAATTCGATACGACTTCTGGTACTCTTCCTCGAATTGCAGGCGTTATACTCACACGGTGAACAGTGTGAAGCAGACCATATTCAAAAAAGAAAGTTGACATGGAGTGCGAAAGTATAGGTAAAGTTGCACGGAGCAGTTACACAAGTGGTACCAGAGGTACAGTGCAGTATACACAAGACCAAGTCCATCCTAACTCCCGACTTTAGTCAAAGCGGAATGAAAAACTGAAATCCCGGTATCATGATGTGGAATGGGTACGGTACAGCGATAAATCCCGCTAATTTGATAGGAGCCTGGTCTCCTTCGACCGTAAAATTCGGTGGACCGTAAACTAAAGCTATCGTACCTTGTTACATTTACTGAAGCATTGCTGGCAGCGGAGAACACAGATTAGTTGGAAACAGAATACCGCCCCTTCATCTCCAGCTGATTTGTCGCTTCGCAATACAAATACATCAAGTAGTTTTAACTCCTGGCTAGTGATGCAATGAGTCTTCCAGATCCATAAATTCAACATGGTTGAATGTTTGACGACGGATCTGTTCCGGTAGTCCTCCGAGTTATTGGTGTGGAGCTAATCAATGTGTCATGGTCGCCAAACATTCAGGTGTTGTGCGACGGTTACGACCGCATAGCCAATACGTTTTATTGTGTTGGAAATTTTTGAAGTCTCGTAATGAACTGTAATATGGGGCAATTTTTCGAAACAGCACAATCTCCAAACGTGAGTGACGTCAAGGGGACTGTTCAATGTTGGTAATATGTGGTTCAGCCCCGAAAATATCCCGTACTCTTTCGACATGAATTCTTGCACTCAACTTTTTCCCAATATTCGCCAGCCAAATATGCACCGCGAGTGGATGAAAATTCGTAAGTAGGCTGGCAGGGTTGCCTTGCTGATGGCGTTGCAGTTTCAGCTGAAAGGACCGCGTACTTATCGTATAGCAGTTGCGGCTGACACAGTTTCGTTCACCGATGATTTGGGGAGGTGAGGTAGATAGCTACAAATTAGGGGTGGTAGCTTGTATAATTGATGTGTCAACACGGGTTGCCAATGGACTTCTAAATGGGGAGACCAGGAAGTGAACTATGCACTGATACGGCAGGGAAGCGTCGGTGTTAAACACGGATATCATGTTGTCGATGATGATATGCACTGAAGGCAATAGCTTGGATGCATGAGCGAAACGGAATGCACGACTTGGTCAAGTTTTACGATGTTTGTAGCCATTGATGTGCCTTGACTCAGTTTCCATTCAGAGACGGCAATGGTCAGCGCAGCTGAGTTTGCTGTTAAAGGTTTTCATGCTTTGCTACCAAGTCATCGTCTGACCTCCCCTGCTCGATTCGACCCTTCACGTGGTTGTGCGAAAAGAGCCTTTTGCAAAGTCTGGATGACACTAGTTTCCGCAGCCTCTACACCAAATCCACTATGGAAGCTATGGAAACCAATGGAAGCTGATTCCTTTCGTTGCCTTTTTCACTACGTTGTGTACTGACTTAGTTCTCTGTGAACACGAAAAATAGAGACATCGGGAACATGCCGAAGGGTCGTAGGTGTCGGAAACTAACAGTGAAATTTGTTTTTGACGTATGCTCTCGTATATTCAATTATTTGAACCGTGAGCGTCAAAACATTTAACACACAGAATCTCAAATCGATACAAAAGCAATCAAAACAAGCTAGTTCTTTGATTATTGTTCGTCCACGCCAGACAATGCTGTGCAAAAATAAGGTCGAAGTTTCGATCGGGACATACTTGAACAATGTCTTGTCGGCAGTATCAAGTGCTGCAAAACTGTCGTCCAGACCTTTTGTCTCCAGCTGCTTTAACTGATCACTAAGCACTTCTGCAAGTTTAGAAAGCTCGGCTGGGTTGATTGGTTTTTCTGGGTTAGCCTGTGACTGATCAGACATCGAGGCTGCATCCTCCACGAGCTGTGCCACCTCAGTTTGCAAGCGTTGCAAACGGCTCATGAACGACTCCCGGTCACGAGCATCGGGTGGAAGCTTGAGAAACATTAGGCTTAGCACAACATACCAGTTCATATTCATCCGTCTCTATAGCATACCCTCGCTTCCCAGTACCAGCAATCGAATCTGAAAAGTCTGTGACGGTCAAATTAAAACACCAGCGATTAACCGACCAACTTTCGAAGAGTCCACCTTACACGAGGCAAACCGCTTATGAGCGTCACTCACAGAAAGTCTAAGTTTCTCTATTTCTTTGGGAAGCATTTCATCTTCCAGGTCGGCCTGCAACGATTAAACCTGATTGATAACCACTCACTCTTGAAAGGCGCTGATCTACCTCCGGGAGCTCCCCGGCTTCGTATACATCCGGTTGCCCATGAGCCTGAAAGAGACCTGTGATCCAAAATTGAACATACGATCCAAGGAAGGTCGGCATATTTCGGGTCGAGAGCCATTTTCGCGGGATCCGAAACCAACCCGAATTCTGCCGCAGATGAGCCACGTAAAACTCAGTCCTTGATTGGTTGATACACAGTACTGGTGACCCCCTTATGAGCAGAACGACAGAGGACGGCACACAGTACTGGTGAAATTGATCAGTACGGTAGTAGGCCCCCTTATGAGCAGAACGACAGAGGACGGTATACTTGGTTCCACAGACTTCCGCTTCAGATGGCGGATTCGAGCTGCTTATTTGGAACCGAAGACAAACGTGAATCGGCTGATCTTATCCAAGCAGACGTCGTTAATCAAGAAGGCAGGGACCACGTATTGCCAGGTGACCTAAACCCACAGACCGAAGACAAGCGACCGTCTTCCTGGGTGGATTGTAGACACGTTTACCTCAGTAACAGTCCGGTGGTAATCACGTGTAATCTACCCAGTTGACGCGTCCCAGCAGCAGCACAAATTATGCGCTATATGGTACCTTAAAACCAACGTAGATAAAGTGGATGTTTGGCCACTAGCGAGAGGTTTATGTTCTATATGCAAGTCTTGAGATGAACTGAGAACGTCAGGACAGGAAATGTCCACATACATTAATTCACTTTTCTATCCGAAATCAGTATTTCCTGACATCCTACTGCGTGTTCCTGAGAGCCATGAGATCCGTACATCGTTCATTCATGCGGGTGAGAGTTGGCTATCCGGCGCTCAGCATATCAAATAGACTAACGTCGGCCTTTGTATTCCAGGAATCGCGGTCGTTTGCGAAGAGCAGGTTTGAGCCAGCCGTAACGGCAGATAATTGACACTGACTGGAAACAGATGTGTCTATTTTACCGGGTTTCCGATGGATTCCAGCTGCTACCGGCCCGAAAGCGGGGCGAGCTGTAACAGTGTTGTGCAGAACGTTCAGTGTGCATGAAATCCCGCAACCCATTGTGGTTTTTCTGATCGGGTGTTGTTTGTTTTTTGTCCATAAAATATTGAGAGTGAGAGTCTAGATCAGAAGTCATCAGAAACTCAAGTAATAGGAAATCTGTGATAGGGCTTTATAATAATAATAATAATAGTAATAATAATAATAATGTTTATTCCCAACTTGTGGGTGGCATACCGTCTGGCATGATCATGCGTTTACAGTCAGAATGGGGCATGACTGGGGGTTTGCGGGCGGTGGGAATTCCGAAAAAAGAGGTCAGTGACATAAACAGTGAGAAGTATTCGATGAAATAATAAAAACAGGTTTCTTTCGCAACCTATAGGGAACAATAGGTATGAGGTCCGACTAATTCAAAGACTCAAGCGACCGGCACGAACTAAAACTGAAAACCATTGCCTGCTATGTATGACCTTGGGCGGTTGGGTAAATGGCCGGAGACACAAGGAGCAAAGGTGGAGGTGGAGATGGGATAATTCGAATTGGGAGAACATGGTAGGTTTAGTCTCAAAAGTATGGTGCAATCTGAGAACAAGCAGACTCACTGGTTGCACTGTTGTAGGGAAGTCATGTGCAGGGGTTAGGTGGGATGGGGACACAGGGGCGGTTGAATTCGAGCGAGCAGTCCAACAGGTGGGAATGAATGTCATGGGGCCAGTTGAAGTCAGTTGGTAAGTTTGTCGTATTTGCCGTCAATGGAACGAGTAGACAAGAGGGCTCGGTTGGGAGAAGGAATGGAGCAGTTGCTGGTGTGCTATCAAGCTGGGTATAGCAGTGCCGTGCCATCATTGGCCTGTAATGCTTTGGTTTTTGGACAGCCCCGTGATGTATGTCACACTTGAGATGGTTTGGCTGGGGTGTGTAGTTCATTGGGCAGCGGTATTCATTTCAGCCTGGTCAGGGGGACAAGGTGGAAGAAGGCCGATATGGGATTGTATGTTTTCTTGGTCCGCTTGGTGATCCCGGGGTTGTGGATCATAGGCCATGTGGAGTGGAGATCAGTTAGCCAGGTCGTCCAAACGGACGCTTCCGAAGTTCAAAGCCTGGGAAGATGAGAGGATGATAGGAGATTCGCAACACATGGTGAGTTTGAGAGGATATAAAATAAGATAATATGCATTAATGTACACAGAAATAATAACTTGACGTCTGCTGCAGTTAGGGTGATGACTAGTGATTATATAGAGTAGGAAATAGATAGATGTGTAATTAGCAGGCTAGCGACCTTGCGCTATATGTTTGCAAGAATGACTGGCCTAGCTTTGGCCACTTTCATTTGGTCAAAATGCCTGCAATTAAGCTTACTAGCAACTTCCGTCCAAACTAGTGGATCGGAAATTTGTACAGCAAATTGCCTGAACATAAACTGGGAGATAAACCTACTGTTGCAAGGCCCTTGTCAGTATTTTGGGGTGGATATCATCCGGTTCTGCGGCGCTAAACAAATTCATCTAACCACACGAACGTAGAAATCTACCCCTCTGAATTTCACATCCGTTGGGCATTCAGCAAACCTTTGTGGTGAGAAAGAGTAGAGCGTGCGAAATGGTGTTTTAACCTTGAGTGTACTAGACGGCCATGCTCTAAGCGTAATTTTTTTATGCGGGGCGTGGTTGGTTTGTTCCTCCAGCGGAACCGTGCGAGCACTTTCAATGCAGATTTCCTCCTGTAAATGATGCCGGCCCATGTCGAAGTGCTGAGGAGCATTGTAAAGATGCACCCCCCATTCGGACTCATCTGCATTGCTGGTTCCGCGAAAATGCAGGATGTGTCAAACCCGAGGCCTACCGATCAGTTATTTCGACATGCGCGCTGATCAGCAGTTTGGATAATTTGGACCAAGACAAGATGGGGCGCACGCCGTCTTCCAGTCATGGACCAGGGCAAGCGCCAACGGCCTCCCACTGACCAACAGCTGATGGGCGTCTCAACAAGTTGCATTCACGAGTTTTGCGTAATTTGTGAGACTATTGCCTTCAACTTCTCACCAAGCTCCTGGGTATAGCAGTGCCGTGCCATCATTGGCCTGTAATGCTTTGGTTTTTGGACAGCCCCGTGATGTATGTCACACTTGAGATGGTTTGGCTGGGGTGTGTAGTTCATTGGGCAGCGGTATTCATTTCAGCCTGGTCAGGGGGACAAGGTGGAAGAAGGCCGATATGGGATTGTATGTTTTCTTGGTCCGCTTGGTGATCCCGGGGTTGTGGATCATAGGCCATGTGGAGTGGAGATCAGTTAGCCAGGTCGTCCAAACGGACGCTTCCGAAGTTCAAAGCCTGGGAAGATGAGAGGATGATAGGAGATTCGCAACACATGGTGAGTTTGAGAGGATATAAAATAAGATAATATGCATTAATGTACACAGAAATAATAACTTGACGTCTGCTGCAGTTAGGGTGATGACTAGTGATTATATAGAGTAGGAAATAGATAGATGTGTAATTAGCAGGCTAGCGACCTTGCGCTATATGTTTGCAAGAATGACTGGCCTAGCTTTGGCCACTTTCATTTGGTCAAAATGCCTGCAATTAAGCTTACTAGCAACTTCCGTCCAAACTAGTGGATCGGAAATTTGTACAGCAAATTGCCTGAACATAAACTGGGAGATAAACCTACTGTTGCAAGGCCCTTGTCAGTATTTTGGGGTGGATATCATCCGGTTCTGCGGCGCTAAACAAATTCATCTAACCACACGAACGTAGCAATCTGCCCCTCTGAATTTCACATCCGTTGGGCATTCAGCAAACCTTTGTGGTGAGAAAGAGTAGAGCGTGCGAAATGGTGTTTTAACCTTGAGTGTACTAGACGGCCATGCTCTAAGCGTAATTTTTTATGCGGGGCGTGGTTGGTTTGTTCCTCCAGCGGAACCGTGCGAGCACTTTCAATGCAGATTTCCTCCTGTAAATGATGCCGGCCCATGTCGAAGTGCTGAGGAGCATTGTAAAGATGCACCCCCCATTCGGACTCATCTGCATTGCTGGTTCCGCGAAAATGCAGGATGTGTCAAACCCGAGGCCTACCGATCAGTTATTTCGACATGCGCGCTGATCAGCAGTTTGGATAATTTGGACCAAGACAAGATGGGGCGCACGCCGTCTTCCAGTCATGGACCAGGGCAAGCGCCAACGGCCTCCCACTGACCAACAGCTGATGGGCGTCTCAACAAGTTGCATTCACGAGTTTTGCGTAATTTGTGAGACTATTGCCTTCAACTTCTCACCAAGCTCAGTGTGTAGAAGACTAATCCCGCTGGCTTTGATGG